CTCAGACACACCACCACATTCTGACCGCACCACTTTATTTTCCGTAGAGCCACTAGTGGGGGCCTCGGCTGACACACCTCGTCTTTCGCCAGTTTCATTTTAGGAAGCCTGAGGAAATCCTAAGGAAACCAGCTGTAAAATACCCAGACTTAGCGAGAAGAAAGGTAACAGACTGCCGTGCTGCCTTAGCGGCTTAAGTACTGCTAGCCCAGGGCCCAGCCCAGGAGGCGGGCTCCTCCAGAAAACACCCGCTCCGCCCCACTCAGGCACAAACTCCGCAGCCGCGGGCCTTCGCGGGGCGGGGCCACGGGCCCTTTGTGACGCAGGACAATGCCTGCCACGCGTCGAAACTCGGCTGCAGGGACGGCAACGGGGCGCGAGTGACACACCAGAGGGAACACAGACGACATCTCTAGGCCAATTCCGGGAACCATGGATTTCTTATTCAGCTTAGCCTTTATCTTTTACCTTTGGGGCTTTTTTACTATTCAGGGACAAAAGAAAGCGGAGGGCACAGAGGAAGTGAAAATAGAAGTTTTGCATCGTCCAGAAAACTGCTCTAAAACAAGCAAGAAGGGCGACCTGCTAAATGCCCATTACGACGGCTACTTGGCCAAAGACGGCTCGAAGTTCTACTGCAGGTAGGAAATCCTGGGAACTGCTCCTGCGGCAGGTTGATGGACGAAATCTAGCCTCCCTCCGCCAACGAGAAGCGTAATTGGTTGTTTAAGATTTGAGACTTTTATTCGTAGGAAATGAGATTACATACAGTAGTTCCTTAACTAAATATCACTTTTAAACTTGTTTAACTTATATAAAATGTTGGCCCAAGAAATTTTCAGCATCCACACATATCCCTAACCACCACCACTACTAACTACCCTTGGGATTTATGGAACTCAATCAGAATACTGCTCACACTTTTCCTTTGCAGAAGATTGGCGCCTCCCTACAAAGAATTACGTAGGGTAGTTTAAGAGGGTATCCCTAGATTTTATTCTGGCCTTCAGAAGCACGATTTTTAGAGGGCTTCGGCCACTTTTTGACTGTATCAATAAGCTATGACAACAGTGGCTTTCCCTGGTGACTTCTGGGCCCTGTGTCCTCCTGCCTGCCCCCTTATCCCCACCACTGCCTAGTCTGACTTGGTTTATTATTCAAAGAGAGGTTATTTTCTCTTCATCTGCGCTATAACCTATGAAGATAGGGTTGGGGAAAGTTAGTTCTCCCCAGTAAGAAGAAGAAAAATTTAAACTACTATTAAGATGATTTTAGAAGTCATTTTGAATTAAACTGTACCATCACTTTTTCGAACAAACTCGGAGAGGTTAAATGATTTGTACAAGCCATGCATCTAGTTAGGGGCTCCCAAAACAAACCCATTGCCATTAAGTCCATTCTGACTCATAGTTAGGAGCTGGAGACCCATTAAAAAAGTTAATTGTGGAATAATGTTTGTAAAGATGACAATAAGAAAGAAAATGAGGAGACTTCTGATGACTAGCATTGGGCAAATCATACCTTTTACTGGCTGTTATGAGGGACCCTTAAGCCAAATGCCCCATAAGGGATTCAGATGAGTGTTAATATGGGAAAAGAGATGGTTATTGAGGACATCAAATTATAACTACCTAGCTGTGTTTTAAAATTTGATTTCGTTTTCTTGGAATCATTTTACCAAGGTAATGTTTTTTATTATAGCCGGACACAAAATGAAGGCCACCCCAAATGGTTTGTTCTTGGTGTTGGGCAAGTAATAAAAGGACTAGACATTGCTATGATGGATATGTGCCCTGGAGAGAAGCGAAAAGTAATTATACCCCCTTCATTCGCATATGGAAAGGAAGGCTATGGTAAGGTGTTTTAATGTTTATTTCTCTTTTTGCTTATATTTAAAAGTAAATCACAGCAGAAATAATCACAGAAGCATAGGGCCCAACATACATTACCTATATCTAGTTTTTACCAGTTGCCATCAAGTTGATTGCAGCTCATGGCGACCCCACATGTGTCAGAATAGAACTGTGCTGCATATGGTTTTCAGTGGCTGATTTTTCAAAGTAGATCACCAGCACTTTCTTCCAGGTTGCCTCTGAGTTCACTCGAACCACCAGCCTTTCTGTTAGCAGCAGAGCACGTTAGCCATTTTTACTGCCCAGGTTCTCCATGTCTAGTTTAG